ACCCCGTCCGGTATGGGCGCCAAAACTATAAACCTCAATACCCCGTCCGATATGAGGGTGAAACGGGCCGTCCCCATACCCCGTCCGGTATGGGCGCCAAAACACATAAGGTCTCCATACCCCGTCCGGTATGAGAGACCACAATCCCGGTAGGGTTCCCTACGGACCTGGTCCATCCACCATCTCCCAGGATATCTAGTCAGGTTGACCACATTATACAATTATCAATTTACATAACCTTTCATTCCCCTTTTTCTCAGTCAGCATCATCAATTCACACACAAACAAGCAAACCAGTAATTTATGCCAAACAAGACCACATACAACCTCGGGTTCTCAGTCATTCAACCTATAATCAATAAAACAGTAATATATGCACACGAAACTATGAAATGAAAACATCAGACCTTATACTGCACTTAAAACCGTAAAATAGGCCAAACAGCAGCTAACCGACAAACACACCAGACTCGGGCTCCATTAGCGACCTTAAACAATTTCACACATCTATTGATTCATGAAATACCGTTTTATTATTTATTGAACTTTAATACCGTGATGGGAAATAGGGTGAGGGGTCCTTACTTGTTTTGGGGTCCGAATACGGCTCTACAGTGCGCCTACAAGCTGTCCCTAATTTTCCCTGAATTTTTTCCGGAGAACTGAAACGCACTACTGGTACCTGTACGTGTCCCAAAAAATCTCAAATTAGACCCATGGCCCTTTTCGACCAATATCGCAATTCTGGCACGGTGGTTCTACCATGCTCCGGGGACGGCGATTCGCCTCGGGTTGGCCGTTTTCGGCCACACTTGCATCGGTCACTGCGATAAACAACCCTAGGGCCCTCGGGGGGCCAAAAAATTACGAAAAATTTAAGCTTACCAGCGGCGGTGCTCTCGGGTGTGGCGGCTCTCTGGCGAGGTTCGTGTTTTGGTGATTTGGCTCCGATCAACCTATAGAGAAAAGAATGGTGATCACGGTGATATAAAAATTGTATCAAACGGAGGCCGGGAAGGGCCTCATCGGAGCAAAAACCGAGAGGGCGCTGCGGCGCCGCTGGATTTCGACCGTGTTTTCCAGCTGTTGACCGGGA